AGTTTTGTAGAAACTGATGTTTTGACAGTGATCAATTTATTTAGATTATTCATCATTAACTTTTATTCATATAACATTTTAAAATATTTATATATGTAAAATTTTTATATGGAAAACTTTTATATATATATAAAGATAAAAACAATTAATTTTAAATATAAAAAAATTTTGTGTAACTATTTTTGTTATGGAATTATGTTTTTGCACTTTTCAATTATTTATCTTTTTAAAAGTTTCTTTACTTCATAGATATATTATGCACACATCTATTGGAATAATATTAAAAATATAATTATCATACGTTTTTTACAGATGAGTACTCGGTGATCAAATAATTTCTTTCGTTGCTTTACAAAGATTGCACACGAAAAACAAATGTTTCCTTAGATATAATTGTCGAGCTTGCAGTGCTGTTTTATGTGTTAAAATTTACAATTTTTTCATGAGTTGCAATTGCATATATTTCTACGAATACTAATTTGATAATCCAATCAAGTGTCTAACGCAGCCAAGTAAATAAAAATTATGAACGCAAATTGTTTTGCCGAGAAATTCACGAAAATGACTGAAATGCTTTGTATATTCAGTCCAATATATGTATATGCGTTTCTCTATTTCTAAGAATAACATTCAATTAAAAAATGATATTTAGATAAGCTTCTAATTCTAATTTCTTAAACAAGTAAAAAACAGTTGGTTATGTAATATTACATCGTGAAATGTTACAAAAATCTAAATTACTAACATAACAATACGTATGTACATATATGTACTATATACAGTACATATATGTACTAAATTTAAATTTAGTCGATCTATTTCTCTCTCTCTCATTTTTTATTTTTATAACATAATATATCAAAAAGTCAAAAAATGGTATCTCTCGCTTTCCATAATTTTATGAATTTAAGATCTTTACCTTATTTTGTGTTAAATAGAGTGTTTCCAGAGTGTTTTCCAAATACTTTTGTACATTCTTCTTTTACTTTTGTATTTTTTTTAGCTCAAAAACATCTAATCTTACACGTTATTTAATTCAACATTATTTAACAGTTGATAGTTTTTATCAAGCTTGTTTGTTCATTAAACATTTCCACATTCAATTTCACTTACATTAAAACAGCAAGTTCTATTTATTTTAGAGTTTTTTATATTTTTCACGCGGCACAATACATCACATTACACTTAATTTATTTCAATTGCACTTCATCGCGGAATATTTACTTTTGTGTAAGAAACATTACTGAGAAAACAAATGTATACAATTTCTTTTGTGATTGTTTATATCTTCATTTTTAAGTTTACAATTACACTGATTCTCGAGCAAAAATTTATAAAAAATTTGAAGAGACAATTTTAGCACGTTCTTACTTGAAGAAGAACGTGTGCTTTGGCCGATGACCGACCCTGCAATGAACATATATATAATTTGCATGAAGGAACCAATGCCCCAAGCGTATCAGCGTCTATACATAGCGCAGCTCGTATGATGCGCAGACGCTTGAATATCTCGATGCTATTATGATAAAATAAAAAATAGATATGTTATACATATTTTCTTTTTTTTTGTTTAAAATGTTACACAAAAATTAAGAAATATTTATTAAAATAGTGAGTTTTACCTCATCGGCTTTCTTTCTCATTTGTCCTAACATCCAAAAGACGACTAAAAGTTTGATGAATTTTTCATTTATGATAAAATATATCGAAGAAGAGATAAATTCCTGATTTTAATGTTATATATATAATTACACAGAACAAATATAATTAAGAAATACTCTTAAAAATAAGTTATAAAACTTACTGACACATCTATAATATTTTAAACAAGTTGTGTTATTACCATTTTATAATGGCGTTTTTAGCACAAAATAAAGAATAAACATACCTTTTAAGAAGGTCTTGAAGCGTACTATCGTGACTACTGTTACCGATACAAGTGACATCAACCATAGAACATTGTTAGAGAGACAAGGACAGTAGTATGTGGGCACTTATGGCGCGTCAAAACAAACCCCCTCCACTTGGCCCCTCCACCACTTCTGGCGCCATTGCCCCACCAGGGTGGTTTTCTCCCTCCCTTGGTGATGATTGGCCACGCCCACTGGAGGGGATGGAAAAGTGACATGATTTATGACCCCTAAATTTTTTATAAATTTTTTATAAATTTTTCTAATTTTCTAAAAATGTGTATTTAAATTTTTTTTGAGGAATTTATGTGGGAGAAAAGTTCGAGAATGTTCTTGAGTAAAAGAATTCTTTATTAAAAGAGTATATATTTATTTAAAAATCCGTTTCAAAGCGTGGCTGGTACTGGCAATGGCGGCGCTCCGATGTTGTTGCCTCGTGCGGTCAAACGTGTATGAGAGCAAGTTGGCGTCGGTTGAGTGAGGAATTGTAAGGGCGGGGGTGGCATCGGTCCGGAGAAGGATCAATCAGCGTCTGGGCATTTATGGCTCCCAATGAGCGAGGTTCAGGGGTAGTTGATAGGGATGATAGGGCCCCCAAGGAAGGACCAATGAGCGTCTGGGCACTTATGGCTCCCAATGAGCGTAAAGCATAGTTGAGGGCGTCTAGGCGAAATAGAAATCGAAGCAGGCGTCGCAAGACTGACTAGAAAATTAGGGATGTAAAAAATGACTTTATGTGTCCGAAGTTTTTCTGAACGATTTTCATCAGCAAGAACTTGTACATGCGTGCCAATAAGAACATAAGTTTTTTGAAAACAAAAAACGGTTTATGACTCGGGACTGTTAAACCTGCGCGTACTTGTTCGCGCGAGAAAATTCTACGAGAGTTTTCGATGGATATCCAATGTAGACTAAAATGTTTATAAAAATGTGTGAGGAGTTTAAGAATAGGTTTCTTGGGAAGAATAAGAGAAAACAACTTATTACAGTTATTTGATATAGATATATTTTAAATACATAAAAGAAAATACAAGTACGTAAATAAAACTACAGTTGATTATTTTTTTTTGCTTCACAAGTACAGTGTTGAATATAGTGTTCAGGAAAGCGGTTTTGTACATTGTTGGGTTACGTAGAGAATATTTTACAAAATAACATACAATTAATTTGTCGTTGGCGTCAAAATTTCTAGAAAACAGTTGTAAAAATTGGGAAAGGCTATACCCGTGAGCCATAAAATAGAGAAACACACAGCAATAATGCCCGCACGTTTGCAAGGAATATCCTTGAAGTTAAGTCGTGTTCCATGTGTGCGTTGCGAAATTTCTTCGAAGTCGCAGATGGAAGCGGGAATCTGACGGCGGTATTCCATAGCTGTCGAAGTAGGTGGCGTGTCTGTTTCCATCGAGGAAGACGGCAATCCAGTGGGTTCCTGGTTGATTGTGATTGTCTGCGTTAGCGACGATTGCTGTCCACTTCGTCCATACCCTGGGCAATTTGTCGGCTGGATAAACTTCCGTGTGTCCAGATATTTGCAGTTGTCGCAAGGCTTGCAATATTTCTTTTGTATTCATTATTTTGATACAGATAGTCGCGAGAAAGCGGAGTGAATTTTATGTATTCCCTTTGTACCTCTGTTTGTACAGCAAAGTCGTTTAGGCGGGAGATTTTTGGTGGGCAATCGTCTTTACTGCGCGCATCTTCTTCTTCTTTTTCTGTTAGTTGTTTTTTCTCCTCCTCCGTTTTGATGTCGTCGGATTGTATCCTGCTGATCTCATCGCTGACAAAGCCGCTATCAAGATGTTCTTCAACGCTGTTTAGGTTTAACTAGCGTTTTAACCGAAAAGCGTTACGTAGAGCGCAACTAATGTCCGATGAGCAAACTCCGTGATACGAACACTGAGATATGTTCTCTTCGCTTTTCGAGATGGATTTGAACGAGGGAGAGAGAGCTTCCAGATTATATATGTTTTTAGACAGAAGCTTTTCTGAGAAATCCATTTTTTCTTTGCCTCTGGTGTAGATGACGGGAGCGTATTTGGTGACTTCTCGTAGATGTCTCGTGAGATATTTGAGATTGGTTTTATCGTCAAACCATTCGATACCGTGATAAATTCGTGTAAGCCAATTGTTGCATTGTTTTGATTTTTGTGGTAATTTGGTAAACAAGAACGGAGGCATCAAGATCCAGTTTTTGAAAATCGGCCGCTTTACCGCGACATACGCCACTTCTTTTGGAATAAATTCACACACGACGCCGCGAAATCCTTGCATTTCTATGATCACAGCACCTTTATACTCGGACATCGTGAAAACAAAGCGAAGATATCGGAGACTAGAACGAAACTGAAATTTCTCCACGCTTGCGACAAAAGGCGTAGAAAAGTGGAAAAAATGTAGTGAGAAAAAATTATCTTGGTTTTACGCATGTGCGAAAATATGATTATCTGTTATAATCAACAATGATTTGACGCGAAGAATCGATCTCCAAAACACTGTCGAATTCCGCATAAACAAGACAGGTAATATTCGTTTCGAGAGCTTTTTCGAACCGTGCTTGAATTCGCAAACTACCGTGCTTCACGAGATTCAAATGTTTGACGCAATTGGCCGATGAATCGGGTGTGAGATCAAAAGCAAAGAGTGTGTATCCGTGTGCATAAGCATTTCTGCTTATAGCATTGTCTTTGGTTAGAAAATGAATACCCGTTTCTGAGAAAAGAGTATGAAAAGTCTTGATGTAGAGACGAGAGTTTTTTGAAAAAGAAGGTTGTTACGGTCTAGTAGGAACTTCAATTCCATCGACGTAAAGCGACANGAAATTTATATTAAAGTTTTTAAAATTAAACGGATTAAGTTTACTATCGCCGTTAAACGCCTTATTTTCGACAAAACCGATTACCACCCGCTTCGGCAGTTGNCCGAGTATGGCGTTGTCAATTGATTCCCTCACCACTCCTCTATGAATTGTAACCGATTTAACTTCAACTCTCGTGAGAGGATACTTTGCAGTGGTTTTGCTCAGCATTTTAGCGTAAACTAATAAATCTCCAGCGCTTAGTTTTGCTCTCCTCATGATCAAGGTGGCGTCTACAATACAAACTCTTTGTGTGGCGTAGATTCCATGAGACAGAAAGAATCCTTCGAGCGGATGAGTCTGAGGCGCATTTCCACGCCATTAATCAAGAATCTATCCTGATTGAAAACGTCGCAATGTAGATGTCTTATGAGATCCACAGCACGGTTATTTGTGAAATACTGCATACGTCTCACGAGAGCGGNATTCTCATTTGGAGCATCGAAGCCATCATCCATCAGCTCCGGAAGATCGCTATCCCATAAACAAATGGTGAGATAAGAGGATTTTGCTTCTGAAGAATAATTCACCAATGTCTCGAAATAGGCCTGATACGCGTAAGCATTGTTCGGAGGCGACACAAGCTTTTGATTGAAATACACATCAATTTGATTGAACATGGAATGTAAAAAGTTATTTACAGGCCTTACTTTATGCTCTGCAGCAGCAGCAGAAGCCGAAGTAACCGGAATAACCGCTGCGGGGGTTTGCAATATCACGCAAAGACTGAGAAGAGTATGCGCGAGATCTATGTAATCTTCACCATGTCCCGGTACGACAAACTCTACGGGAGCGTCGTCCGCAAGAGTCGACAAAGGTTTGTANTGAATCCATTGCGAACTCTCGATACTGGTCTAAGTGGGCGGTAGAGTGAAAAGATCAAGTTTGCTTTTGAAACACTCACACAAGTGAGTATGGAGAAAAGACATTTTGCTTCGTCTACGAGAATATATCGCACACGGTTCGTTTCTTGCTCACGCGGCGTTTGCTAGTTTTTGTCGCGCGCTTCTTCTTCTTTCTCTTCTTCTGAATTCCTTTACTCGTAGAGCGTTTAAGTGTTCGAGTTTTCTTTTTTCTTCGCACGGAAGCCGATTTCTTGTTGGTGCTACGACGGCGACGCTTGATCGCGAAGTGAACGGGGAGCTCACCAGGGTCAAACTGANCCGGGCGTTTCTTCGCAAGGGGTATATATCCCGACTCTTGCATTAAAGTGGTTATTTTTTCTCTTGCTTGTTGTTTGAGATTGTCACGTGATTCTTTGAAACGACTGTTAATTGCTCTTTTAGCGGAATATTGTTATCCCCCACATCGTCTATTATTCTTACACCGGCGCGTAGAGCTTCTTTTCCGATCGCGCGCGCTCCGCTAGCCAGGTAGGGAAGCACCCTCCTGAACAATCCGCCGAGAAAGCTTCCGATACCGTGACCACGCTGATACGTCNATCCTGTAAAAACTCTCGGAACACCGCCCCCGCTCTNCATCTCGTAATAGTCCATATAATAAGCCATATTCTACTCGAATACGCGTCTAAAGTGTAACGTTACCGTCAACGTGCCGAATTCGAATGGAATAAATTTACCAAACTGATCTCTTATATCTATTTCTATCACGCGGAAATTTGTTTTACGAAGCGGAATATAATTTCCAGGCGTGTAATGTTTCACCTGATTAGAACCGTACTTAACCATGGTATTGTTAGTAACGATTCGAAGAAGCGGTGTTAGCGCATCTCCGGTTATGTATGACTCGCAAATGTCGCAATAAACAAATAACTTGTCGGGGATAGCACGGGCCAAGCTGATTGGTTTGAAA